TATCCATTTGTCAATCATCATCTTTAACAAGTTCTCTTTTTTAAGGGCTCTTACTCAAACCAGAGTGTGCTCACAAAGAGACACTGGAATTTGCCCTTTGTGTTCTACTTTTTATTTGCTGGAAGTCAATACCAATTCGTCTCTCATATTTGTACTTCCCACCTTTGTGGCCTCACTTTCGTTGTGCAATTTATATTTTTATACATATTAGATGGCTACAACATGACTACTAAAGAGCTCTATACAAGGACTACACTTGCCTGAGTTTATAAAAAGCTGATRGTTTTTCAACTTTGCAGTTGAGAGCAGTGACTGAATTGGATTAAGTTAATAGCCATGCTCAAGTGTGACTGATTATCAGGCAATATTAAAATGAAATATAAATAACTTTACCTCAACAAAGGCTGCAAAGAGGATTCGTGTTTTTCAGTATTTTGCATTACAGCGGTTGTTCGAAGCTTGTTCAAGTCTGCAATAGCATCAGCATTTTCGTTTAATATTTCCTCGCTAAACGTGTTTTTTATAAATTTTTCGAGAGGTTTCTTATAGTCAACTGCATCTGATCTCTTCGTGGGGGCCGTTATCCAGCCTGCCATTATGGGAGAAGTTTTCTTTCCTTCGACAAACCAACGAAATCTTCCAAATGAAGGAAATACAAAGTTTCTATTTATAGAACTGCAAGTGAGAGACTGGGATCGACCTCATCCAGACGAGGCTCCTTTATTTCTGCCACAGAAAACCCAATTATTTATTTATTTTATCCTCGAAGACCTTGCTGTTACGAAATATATATTGAATGCAGTTTATTCCTATTGCCCTCCAAAACTTCAACAGTGAATGATATAATCAAACATGAAAGGACCCGACTTGGTAGATTTTCAACCTTGCTGAATGTTCACAACTTAAATACAACACATTTTTTTAAATATGTATAGAAAACCCGAGGGTTTGCTAGAGTGCTCGCACTAAATGCGTGAAATATAAATACTACAAAATARGTGATAAATTATACAAAWTYCTTTGTTTCCTATTGTATAATCAACACTATTTAGTAGTAATTAGTACTATTTGTTTCACGCTTAAGTGCGAGCACTCTACAAATGGCTCAGTGTTTTGTTTATGCATCAATCTCTTCGTGCTTTATTTGGGGATTCACGTTAAGTATATTTTGAAGATATTTGAAAGGAGACCTCTTGGATTATCAATCTATTACATAAAAGTTATAATTATCAGCCACGAAAAATTATTTTTCACAGAAATTACTCAATTTACACAATAATGAAAGTCCTTCTCTCAGTCCGTCTATCATATTACAAAAAAAATKAAAATTGATTTATTATGGGTTTGAATTCAATAAGATTGGATGAATTGACCAATGTATGACATAGAATGGAGTAAAATTTTATGGGTCAGAATGGAATTGGATGAAATAACATAATGGAGATAATAACTAAACCAGATTTRATGAAGTTGGAATAGAATTGGATGGTACCGTTTRGAAGGAATTACCTTTTATCCAGGTTTTAAAGTTTTAAAAAACAACTCATCAAGCTAATTAATAGATGCGTGATATGTAAATCGATTGATCTCTCCGACGTCTAGAATTCGTTGTCTTCATGTATCTTTCGGACCTCAGTACTTCACGCTAAATAATTTCTTTTTTCTTGGAAGAGGATTTCAACGCCCAGTCCATAACAACTTCTTGTTTGAAAGAACGCGATAGCACAYTATCACTCTCTGTCCTTTCTGGAATCTTGCTACTCCCTTCTTCCAATTTCTGTGCGTGTTAACTTCATCGCTTTATCATAGTGTTTCATGCTCCAATGCATAGGTATGTTTACCACAGTCTATGTGTTTCTCAAGAGCGGAATACCTAATAAAACGATAATAGAATACACTCTAGAAGCAAGAGAAACATTCGCTTCTCTTCGCATGAGCAAGAAAAACCATTACTTTAAATATTTTGAAAACAAATATAACTAAATCAAAAGCAATCTGGAAAGGGATCAACGAGCTTGTTGCAATTAAGAAAAGTAAAAAGAAAACTATAAATTGCATTAAAAGAAGTGATGGCACTTTTACTTCAGATCCTGGTGAAATAAGAAACACAATATACAAATTTTTTGCTGATGGGTTCCAACCTGGCAAATGGCATTCCATCGACAGGAGAGTCAGTTACAGAATATCTTGGTAAACCAAACTCTAATACTTTCTTTTTTCTACCAGTTATTCCTAATGATATTATAGAAGAAATCATTGCTTTACCTCAGAACAAAGCGTCCGGCCTGTATTCCTGCCCTGTACGAATTTTGAAAATTCAAGACATTGATTAAAAGCATCTCTCTCTCGAGATTTTAGAAAAAGCAGACGATTTTTCAGATATCGATCAGATTATTGACGAGCTAAAGGCTTCATACTGACATGTTCCTTTGTCATCATTTAATAATTATTTAATAATTTCCTAATAGAGTGCGCGTACTAGAGTGCTCGTACTTAAAGCGTGAAACAAATAGTACTAATTACTACTAAATAGTGTTGATTATACAATAGGAAACAAAGGAATTTGTATAATGTATCACCTATTTTGTAGTATTTATATTTCACGCATTTAGTGCGAGCACTCTAAATGCGTGAAATATAACGTGAAACAAATAGTACTAATTACTACTAAATAGTGTTGATTATACAATAGGAAACAAAGGAATTTGTATAATGTATCACCTATTTTGTAGTATTTATATTTCACGCATTTAGTGCGAGCACTCTAAATGCGTGAAATATAAATACTACGAAATAGGTGATAAATTATACAAATTCCTTTGTTTCCTATTGTATAATCAACACTATTTAGTGAGAATTAGTACTATTTGTTTCACGCTTTAAGTGCGAGCACTCTATTACGTACTCTTCCTCTTATCGCTTTTTTTCTCGTTTTTTCCTCCTTGTAAAGCTGTGAATTTTTGAAAATTTTATACTAGTTTTCTCCCTTATCGCCCTCGCCTCGAATAGTCCTAGACTAACTGCGAGGGCTGATTTCAATTGTAATTAATTGTAATTGTCAATTGTAATAAAATAAACTGTTGTTGTTGTTGTCGTATTTCTAGCCTTGGTTCTCTCATGTTTTTCAACTCCCAMCGTGACAGAGACGCGAACCATTTTATATTTCTTAGATATAAATAATGAATATTAGAAAAGTTTCATGGATAGAACAAGAAAGTATTTCTGACTATCTTTATTCCATTCATATGTATCTCCTTGCATCACYGTACTACTCAGTGGCCATAACTATCTGGCCAGCGGCACGTCCCCGTATAGCAAATATATTGGAGTCCTCCGAATTGGAGGACTTTAAACATCACTTCCAGGATTAGGTTTCATCGGGATTAGGTTTCCATTGCCGCGGAGTTCAAGTGTCTGATTTCCAGTGTCAAAATTTTGTCGGATTTCGTGCCATGGTGAGAGATTCAGTTCATCCAGCGTTTACTCGAAAATTAACCGGATGTACGCAGACTAGTATCATGGCTATATAGCGGATTTCAACGTTTCGAAAACGCGGCACTTCCGTGTYGTTACTGTACCGTTMAGTAGCGGYGATGTTCCGTGACCGTGATCYGAGCGTTTGCACGGTCGAATCGACTGTATACGGACGTATTAGTCAAAAGCTTTTATTCTAGGTTTTTTTCACTTGGCTATACATATATATCAGTACGATAAAAATCACTCTGTACTGCTTGCACTAAGCTAGAATAAACAGTGAATTATCCCAYAGACCTTAAAATATGGATTTCTTTACTTACTCCACTAGTTCCTATACAGATATTGTTTCGTGCGTCCTGTTAAGTCTCTAACAAACCAGCATTTACAGTTTTACAGTTAAATTAAAATTACACCTTTAGTACTWATATTTTTTTGTGTATTGTTTTCTGCCAGAGAAGTCTTCCTTTTGAGAAATAATGATCATTTATCATTAGTTCAAATAGCTTTCAAGCCAAAAAATAGAAAGCAATAGGCACACATATATGTATATCTACTTTTTTAGAAAAATATCCTGATGTGTTAAGAATAGCCAACCAGTGATTTTGAATTAAATAATTTCAAACTACTGCTAGTCATTTAGTGCGAGGGGAAATGGGCCCCTTGTCCTGGTGACCAGCCACTCAACCAGGATAAATAAAGACAATGCTTTATAAATTTCCTATATGTCCTTGTAACTGATTAGAAACCATTTAGAGTTCATCACGTAATAATGTATATCGGTTATAGCTAGGTGAAAGCTTTTTGAATACAGTTTCAGGTGGAGATGTTTTTGTTTTCCTATCACCAGAGCCACTTTCAACTTGCTTATTGGAGCCATCTTCAGATCCTGGATTTCCAGTTCCCATGTCAGCTGTTCCTTGGTCACCTTGACTACCGACAGCATCCTGAAACATTACAGATACATGTAGAGATGATCCATTACAATATACCGGTATATGATTGGTATTCACAAATACTAACACTTGTCTTAATTGACTGACAATTTCATTTGTTAACACTATGGGGCTGGTGAAGATTAATTTGACCATGAGGAATGACTGAAAAAGGAAAATGGAGGAAAGATCAGATGATCATCAAACTTACAGTCTGTTTGGGTTCATCAGGGCCATGGTGAAACTCTCTGTGAAGTTTACCAGAATGAAGATCAAAAACAAACTGCTTGAGCTTACCAGGGATTCTGTCAAAAATATGGTATATATTTCATTAGATTTTGAGAGAAAAACAGACAACAAATTAACATTCTTGATTATTCAGCAAAAGAAATGCATGTCGGTCATTTAAATCCTTGTATATGTTTATAACAGATGCCATCACAGATGCTGCTAGCTTTTCCTCTCTAAAAGCTACTTGTATCTTCTGTTTGAGTTTGTTATAGAATCAAAAATACAAAGCAAAAAGAACTTTAATACTATCTAAGACTACTCATCATTTGTGATGCATTCAAAACTCTACATTGGTTTCAWAATTATTATTTAAATTGTAAAATAAAAGGTTCACAAGTGTACATACTTCATATCTTCATATTTGGAGAACAAATACATGTGTCTGAAGCTGTCAATAGCAATCAATGGAAGATCCTTTTCTGCCTTTCCAAGATGATGCAGTGGGTGAGAAAACTTTTTCCCATCTGCAATCAAGAAATTGACTTTTCCTAGAAAAAACAAGATATGAATCTTTTTTAATAAGCCTTTCAATTTTATTAATCTGTAAATAGAAAWTAAAGCAGTTTCTCCATTTCACAAAGTTTGTGAAGACAACTGTAATCTGTAACATATTATTTAGCATTCACCAGCAGTCACCACCTATTAATGTTGGACATGAAGACAGAATCAAACTCATATGCATATGGTTGTGAGAACTTTCTGACAATATCAAGTTGCAAAGGGTAAATGCAGATGACATCTATTCATTTGAGTTTAAATTGAAATCCCTTGTTGGAATAAAAAAAAAAAAAAAAAATTGTTTTATACAAATGACATTGTGATCATAACTCTTCATGTTGACTGTATAGGTTATCAATAGGTCAGGTAATAGCCACAATGAGAAATAATTCTATTTCATAGCTGCTGATAGTCCCTGATGTTATTCATGAAGAACGGAAGGCAAAGGAAACCTTTGCTTCCTAGTAGGGACAACTGAAGGTCCCTACAGCTGTCTTCTTTTTATCTCTGCAATGAATGGTCTTGTTATCGTCTCAGTCACACTGAAATGTGGGATGATTTTTGGGTCAAATTGACCGAGTAGCTCTGGTTCCAAGTCACTACTTCATACTGTTGAGCATGTGCACTTGACCAATTTCAATGTTTGATAATAGTTTATAGGCTTCTTGGCATTATACTTGCAAATATAAAAACAACTTTTCATAGTTGAAGTTAAGGTTCGTTAACATCAGCATTAAATAGAACTGAAAAGCAATTGTTTGAAAGTTCGTTGTGGGAAATCAGTAACAATGGTTGGATTACCAATATCATTTTGTACTGTTGTTCTGCGAAAACCTTTTCAATGACACAATAAAGTACTTGGTACTCTTAGAACAGTGCATATCCATTCTTGTTCATGTCACATTCAAATTCATGCGTGAAGCAGGCGTTTGTTGCAATGTTTTTATTACTTCTGATTTTTAACATTGGAGCATGCAAAAAAAACAAGAATTCAAATTCAACTTCATTTTTTTCCTCGGAAATCATGGTATTACAAAGTAATAGCATGGCTTCCTCGGGAGATTAGGGATTTCAGCCTCGGGCAGGTAAGTAAAAGTCCCTCCGGCCTGTGGCCGTCGGAACTTCAACTTATCTGCTCTCGGCTTCAGGGACATTTAATCCCTAATCTCCCTCAGAGCCATGCTATTACTTATAAATTAACATTTCAAAAACTGTTAAATAATACAAACCTTGTTTCAGTAAATAATGACATATGACACCATGGTTAGTTTACCTTTTTCATGAATAAGCTGCTTTGCAACTTCATCTTTGAACTCCTCAATGCTCTTTCTGTCAGTAGGGTTATAGAATAGTAACAGGAATGGAAGCCCTTCCTCTGTTAACTCTTCTGCATTCTCAAATGTAATCTCACGTACTAAAGGAATGCATTTATCTCCAGCCCATGTCTTAAGACTTTCGTAGTCATTCAGATTTCCAAGGTAAACTATATCATCTTCCTTTCCTTTCTATAAAGAAATAAAAACAACTCTGAATTAAAGCCTTAAAAACACAACCAAAACATTTCAAATGAAAGTCCATGCAAATCATTTTTAGTCTATTCACATAAAGGTCCCTACTGTTGTAGAGGCTGCTTTTAAAAGAGTGTTCTGGATAGGGAAATGCTGACCAATACTGTAACACTGTATTGAAATTAAACATTCGAAAACTCATACATGATTAATGAGCTATTAGGCCAATAGAATGAATTTGGTCACATGCAMGGACCTTTTTTATTTCTGATAAAACACTCCTTATTAGTATWCTTTATATAAAGAATACTAATAAGGATGACCTTTATCAGATAYAAAGRTCCATRACCCTAGCAAAGGTCTYAGGTTKKAWACCTGATCATTGACCAATGCAGGATGTCAACCGATTGCAATAAAACAGCCATCAGCGCTTCTATTTTACTTTCAATGTGGGATGACAAGAGTGCTTTGTTGAGTGATTCATGCATGATCAGTTTGCCCCATTTATTTCTTGAAACTTTTTTTTACGGCAATTTTTTTCAAATTAGTGTTGGAGTTTTTGAAGCTGTTTAAAACACTCGAGATTATGTTTTATCAGGTATAAAGATGCTCTCGTGTTTTAAACTCTAAAAAAATTGCCAGCATTTAAATCATTTATATCTTTAGAGTAACTTACATTTTCAGGTCTGTAGACAATGTTTTCGCCAGTCTTTCTTTCTTGTGCAGATGCATCACTGGAAAATGTTGGTGATATTAGACAACCAGTGCAAAAAGTATCATATATACTGTCATAAGACAGTATAGGGTATAGGGAATAACTGAATGACAATCAACAAAATCATAAAATACCAGGAAAAAAAACAKAAACAAGTACACAAATATATATTTAAGCATTCAAACTATCCATGGTTCTGACAAATCAAGTGCGAGCGTGGGAATCGAACGYTCACGGCTTGTTCGGTTTGTCCCACAAATGCTTTTGAGTTTTTGTAAATAATACAGTCTTCCAACTATTTGTAGATAAAATTCCCGATAATATTTCTGTTTCTTTTGTGAAATACATTTAAGTCTATTCGAGAAAGTCCTAGAGAAAGGAATTGAATATTTTTTATGTGTTTTACATTTAGCATTTTGTGCTTTCGTCCGCACATCTTCATCAATTTCAAGCATTTTTTTAGATTAGTTTTTGACTTGGGGAACAGAATGAATCATCCTCAATTTAACCTGGCTGTGTAGCGCTCATCTGCTCTACAAGTGCCCCAGCGACACCTCAAAACCATCTCAACTTCGCCTTCCGATCTGACTTTGTTTACATTTTTTGTGGGACARCATGGCTGCCATTAGGTGTCCTCTATTCTGATTGGTCAATCCAGCACTAGCCTGCRTTACATCCCGGAAATTTCACAAATACCAGACGGGATATATCGAAGAATATTCCGGATGTAACACAGGCTAATCCAGCACCYGCGAATGACACGTTTGATTTGTCGRAACTATGAATTGTAGCAGTGATATGCAAAGGACAGCATCTGAAGAAGGTTTTTGACACTACTATAGACTAGGCATTTCATAAATATGCACAAAGAGATATTTATTATAGCATTCCATCCATATATTAATATATGACATCTTTGTCATTGTATGCTAGGATACAGATGGTAGGTAAGCATTCTATTCCATGAAATTAGTACATGTACACAGTATTTGTGTGTAGATTGAACATTCCTTTACATCATATTATACTCACCCAAAACCAACACGGAAATTACAGTCATCTCTRAAATCCTCTGCAATCTATTATTTAATAAATGAAAAAAATAAATTGGAAAAGCTTGGATAGACAAATATGTGGAAATAATAGAGCCATATGTAAAACACAAACCTTTTCCAATTGTTTGTAGTTTTCACTGTCCTTTTTCTCAAAGTAAGCTATTATGGTACGCTTWGATGACTGTGCATTAAACAGAAATTACMAAACTTAGATCATATCATGCATGTTACACATACAATCAAAGATATAAAGATAACWACAAAGTCATTTGCATAAAACTATTTTTTTAGAATTACCAGTTAGAATTTTAATTCTACAATGAATAGTGAATTAAATGTTATTGACATTGTATATAATTTTTGGAACTCTTTGTTGAATATTCTTGCAAAGATATGCAATATGYAAGATATTTGCTAAATGATATGTAAATGACTTTGATAGGTCTTTACAACTGGACAACGTTAATGTATGCACACAGCAGTTAATGGCTCACCACACAATATTTGCCTGAAACTAGCCTATAAATTAATTGCAAATTTACTATTCTTATACTATAAGTCAACATTTATATATTTTTAACAATAATATATTATTAAATATACTTATTACAAAAGCTTACATSTATGCAGAAACAAGTAAAATAATAATGAAAAAGGATTGCACTCTATAATAAGTTAAATGCGAACTACTAGCATAGTATTGTTACAAAGTGCATATGCATGTAGTATTTGTAATGACTTATTTATTGAATATGATATACAACTGTAAGCTTAATACTAAAAAAATGTCAAGCTTTGTAGCTCTTTATGTTGCCCAATTTTGTTGATCAAGAACTATCACATGAAACCGAAGCCATCATTCAAAACCGTTCTTGCTATTGTCACCTTCACCTCAATGATTACATCAGTAATATTACAATTAGAGTATCTGTGTAGGCCTTTTCTGAAATACAAAATCATAGTGCATTGTGGTCTAGCTTCAAAACAAACAACCGCGCCATAATTGACAGCATGAACAAAAGATGTTTGTGCTGAACCTAGACCACAATGCAATGCAAACTGCTATCTCAGAAAAGGCCAATGCACATTTAACTATTGCAGACTGGTAATTTTATACACGTATTGCCTGTAAATCCCCCAAAAGTGGAAAAAAAGTGTTTTGTGTCTCCAGTTAAATATGGYGTTAATGTCCTTATCTGAGACAAAGCACAAAAATACTGGGAACTGTCTTCCTTAAGGAACATAGACTAGTGGACTCACTCACCACTACACAAGCCTCTCTCTCTTTTAAAGTAATCAAAAGAAAAAAAGAAAAAGGTAAAAAATCTAATTAAATTCAAATGTACATACATCAATATTCATATCACTCAAGGAATGAAATTCTTCAATCACACTCTTCATTTGATTTCTCAAATAGTTGGTAAAAGCATCTACAGAACGTTGACCTCTATACTCTCTTCTTGCAGGCTGAAAGAAAATCATGAAAGAAAATATTATGCTTGATTATAAAGTGAAATCAGTCYCATATTAGCTAACAAGATTGCTGGACAACCTTTGTAATTATGATCTAAAGCAAGCTTTTCACGGAATACATGCCATTTCTATATACCAATTCTGGGAGAGAAAGAATTTTAGGCATTTTAAATGTCTCAAATGCACAGGTAAATACAGTCAACTCTCGCTATTACGGACACCCTCAGGACCGTAATTTAGTGTACGCAGTAGTGAGAGTACGTAGTAAAGAGAGTTACTTTCAGTCATTTCTTTGTATTTTTTGTTAGGGATTCAGTATTTTACTGTCTGCAATATCAGTGTCCACTGTAGCGGGGTATCTGTAAGGCGAGAGTTGACTGTATGGTCATTTGACAAGGATAACACAGATTAATAACAAAATAAAAATTAACACCTAATAGTGGAACT